GCGGCCCGCCCGGCGGCCGAGAGGGTAGCCACGCTGCCGCGCTCGGGCCAGGGACTCACCACTCGCGGGGCGCCTCCGGAACGGTGCGCACGGTGTCCGGTGCGCGACCGCGCGGTCGATGGCGGCTGCGCCCGCACCCACACCAGCACCCGCTCGGCGGCCGGCTCGGCTGGGCCTGCGCCTGCGACTCGGGAGATGCTGCGGGGCCTTGTGACGGGGCGGGGCCGGGGGTGGGGTCGAGGGTGCGGGGCGGAGCCTGCGGCCCGGAGACGCTGCTGCGGGGCCTTGTGACGGGGCGGGGCCTGCGGCTTGGAAGATCGCCGGGCTTTGTGACGGGGCGGGGCCGGGCGCGCGGGGCGGGGCCTGCGGCTCGGGGCGGGGCCTGGGGGCGGTGGAGCCGGGCTGCGGGCGGTGCTCTGCAGGGAGGGCCGGGCTTTTCCCGGTTGGATCCTACCCACTGTGGCCGCCTTCCTGGCTCCTTTCCGGGTCCCAGGCCTGCGCCCTGCGTCCCGCCTAAGGGTAAGGCTTGGGCCGTGAGGGCTGAGACCCTACGGACAAAGGCCTGGTCTGGCCGATTCGGCTCAGGGAGTTGGGAAATGTCTTCCTAAATCTGGCATATGCAGAGTCTGCCAAGGACTCTCTATGCCTCCTTGGTCTTAAAACATCGCTTTCTCTTTTCCCTTGCCCTTTCGTCCGAGTCTATCCCAAACCCAGAGGCCTGATGGCTTAACTGCTCCATCCTCTCTAGCAACCATTGAGTACTATTTCCAGTGGGGTCCTGGGCCTTTTATCCTTCCTGTCTTCATCACGTCTTTAGGTTGTAAAGGTGGCATTCTTAGCCCTGCTTCATTGCCAGGACTGGAGGCCAAGTCAGCGTCTTCCCTTAGCTTCAGCGGCCCTCTTGACGATGTGCTGACTGTCACAGCCATGGACGATTTCTGCAGCAGTGCCTGGGGACCTTCCTGTGCCACGGTTGGCCTCTCCCAGACCCGCAATGGCCCGGAAGATGTTCTCTCCCGTACGCATGGTGTGCTGGTTCAAAGTTTGAGACCCGCAGCTAGCAGGGGAAGCCCTGATCTCAAACTTTTGCACGTGCTAATGTCACAAACACACCCATCACAGTTGATTCCAAGCTACCACCGGTTTAACAGCTTGTTCACAAGAATTCCTGAAAGCGTAATGATCTGAGCTACCCCAGTACACTGCTGCCAGTGGCAGACCCTCTACGTCAGGGACTCGTGTACTAGGTAGGTTACATGGTACGTTAGGAGGTGATGAGTTCTACGAGAAGAGAAAATATAGAGCGGGCAGGGATAGATTCAGGTTCTGTAGAACCAGAAGCTCATACAATTTGAGGGGCCCAATCTGAGAAAAAGAATTAAAAAATGACCCATATGAAGTTGAAGTCAGGGCCTTGGATGGGGCCTACGCAAGTCAGAGGTCCTTAGAGACTTGAGGTTCAGGTTAAATCTAACAATAAGGGTGGGGTAGGGGAGTCATGGGGGGGGGGGTGGGGTGGGAGCTGGGTGACTCTGTGGGAGAGGCTCATCCAGGCAGAGGGTAGGGCCCGTGCATGGGTGCTGAGGTAGGAGTGATCTGCTGCCTTGGAAGAAGAGGATGGGGGATGGGGACAGAGAGGGCACTGGGGCCTGGTCAGGCAGAGCCTGGACTTTGGCTTTTGCTGCGAGTGACTCAAGCTGTGGTGGCTGTTGTGCCGCTTTATGAGGCTCACCCTGCCCTCTCTGTCGGGGGTGGATAGTGGGGTGTGCAGGAGTGGCAGAGGGAGATTAAGAGGTTAGGGCAGGGATCTGGGGAAGCGACGATGGAGGCACAGGCCAGGGACGCTCGGTGTGCAACTTGAGGTGCGGGCTGGGCCGGTCCTCAGCCCCCTGGGGGAGTAGCAGGTGCTGAGGGGTAGACGGGAGGTAGGAGATGGAGAGCAGTCATGGGAACAACTCTGAGAGGCTGAAAGCAGATGGGCCGGGGGTGGGGGTGGGGGCAAGAGTGGGTGTGGATCTAAGGGTGCAGCCTGGGCGAGGCCCGGCACTGCCTTGGGCCCTGTCTGTCCCTCCATTTCCCCTGCAGCCAGCCGTGTCGGCAAAGCGCCTGCCCCTTCTAGGCTAGCCATGATGACGACGAGGGCAGTGGTGGAGTCGGATGGGAGGACCGGCAGGTGCACAGACGGGAGAGCCACAGGAAGGCGAGCAGAGGACGCAGAGCGTGGCTGTGCCGGGAGGGGCAGAGGACTTGCGGGCCGAGGACAGGAGCCGCTCGCCTTCACTCCTGAGGCGTGAGGCCTAGTCACCTGCTAGGTGTGAGGGCTGAGCAGCGGGGTCTGCGAAGATTTCTGGAGAGAGGTGCCAGCCAGCCTCAGCCAGGAGCAGGCCTGGCCACCCAAGGGGAAAGTGACACCGAGCTTGAGGTCCCTGAGTGGGAGGCAATGACTCAAGACCCCCGGTGCACTGAGTAGGGAGAGTGATTGGCCATTTTAAGGTTCACAGGGAGAGGCCAGTGGGAGTAGAGGACCCCCAGGGGCCACTCCCCACGCCCCACCAGCCTGTGAGCTGCGTTGGGACAGATGGGGCTAGTGGGCTGAGCTGAGGGGTCAGACCTGGCCACACCTCCTGGTCAGCCAGGGGCTCTTTGCAGGCACAGGAGCTGGGGTGAAGGGTCCTACAGGAGGGGCCTGCCTGGAGGAAGAGAAGCACCTGGGAGGCGGTCCCCAGCCCCCTCTCCCTTCTCTCCCGCAGTTTCACTTTTGTTTTCCTGCCCCAGGCCTTCTGCCTGCAGAGCAGACTCAGGAGTCCTGTCTGAAGGCAGGGGCTGGGGCAGCTCAGGGTCTGGGGAGTGTGAGATTCCCCGCTTCAAACACACAACGTGATAGGGGGCGGGGGCACGCCAGACAATGCTGCTGAGGGTCCTGGAAGGGGCTGGAAGGAGCAGGGTGGGACTGTGGCGCCACTGCCCTTCCCGCCGGGTCAGGCCCCAGGGATGCGGGGACAGGGCTGGGGTGGGGGGAGGCAGTGGTGGTCACAGGGAGGGGAGGTGTGGGGGGAGGGGTGGTGGGCAGCAGCGGAGCTCCGCGGGCTGCCGCCTGATATTGCGGACGAGGCGCTCGTGCTCTGCTTAGAGAAGCCGATGCTGGGGGTGGGGGACGGGGGGTACCCCTGTGCGGAGCTGGCGGAGACCCGGCCGAGGGGGCGTTGGCACTTTTCAGGAGCCGGCAGGTGAGGGGGCGGGTGGAAGGGGCAGCCTGAGCGCCCTCTGCCGGCTGCGGGCTGCCGGCCCGACGCCCCTCTCCGCCCCAGCGAGGATGCAGCGAGGGTCTGGGTCTAGGAGGGGTGCATGCTCCGTGGTGCCGCCGTGTTCCTTTGCCCTCTGCTGTGCACCCCAGCGCCTGGAGCCGCAGAGCCAGACCCTGCTGCGTGCCACGGGGCACCCAGAGCATCCCCGCCATGCCCTGGGCAGCCCCGGACCAGACCGGGTCCTGGCCCAACTGCCCCTGCCCTTCTTGGGGGGGGTGGGGGGTGAGAGGCAGGACTGGGGGGTGAGAGGCAGTGCCTGTTGGGGAGATGCTCTGAGCCGACTTGCACCCTCCCCCATAGAGGTCCGCGTCCTGGGGGAACAGGCCCGGGCCCGGCCCCGGGCCTTAGGGGGCTGAGGTGTCTGTCCCTGGCCTGGGTGCCCCAGGCCTGAGCTGTGCATGTGTGAGGGGGCATCCCCCCCGCACCTGCTGCTGCTGGAGCTGTACCTGGAAAGTGTGTGTTGCGGTGGCAGGGGCCCCTGGAGGGCCTTCGCAGCCAGCCTGGGCTCCTGGACACCATTGTCTCCTTCCAGCACTGGCAAGGGGAGTGGGGCTAGGTAGACTGAGTGGCCTACCCCTCCCTATCCCTCACACCGCGATGGCCCTCTGTCCTCGCCTTCCCCCAAGTGGCCCAAGTGGTTCTGCACCAGGACCACCGGCTGCAGGAATCAGAGCTGAGTCTCCTCCCCCATGAGCCTGAGAATCTTGCCAAGGACACCAGTGGAGGGGACTGCCGGGTCGAGTTGGAGCCTGAGGCCACTGAGCATGCTGTCCTGGAGGCCGGAGGGCCAGCAAGGGCACTGAAGGGTGCAGGGACGGTGACCCTGGGCTCTGAGGAGGCACCAGCACAGGTAGGAAGGAGCCTTTCTGCCGACAGGTCCTATAGGGTCTCTTGGAAAGGCTTGGCCAGTCAGCTTAGGGCTCGTGGGGTCACTGGGACATGGGGGCTGGTGAGCCTGGGGCCAGTGGGCTCTTCAGAGGAGGCAGGGCTGATGAGCCTGGGGTCTGTGGGGCCTCCAGGCCCAGCGGGCCCTATGGAGATTGCCCCAGGGTCTCTGGAGCATGTGGGGTGGGTGAGCCTGGGGCCTGCGGGGCCACCGGGGTGGGGGTGCTGGTGGGCATGGCGCTGTCCCCGGAGCCAGGAACCATGCCTTTCATACAACTTGACCACGAGGACCTTCTTGCCGGCCTGGGACGTGTTGCTGTCTTCCCGGTGGGAGGACTAGATCTGACTGGCTTTCAGGTGAGTGTCCCAGGAGCATTCCTCGCCTTTGGCTCTCCTCCCACTGGAGGCTCTGGATACCTTTCCGGTGCCCTGAGCCTGCAAACCGCTCCCCTCCTACCATGGTCCTACAGCTCTGGGGAGCCCTGGCCCCATGCCAGGGGGCGGAGTAGTTTCTGCAAAGTCCGCTAGGGGGCATTGTCTGTCACGTGCTGAGCCTGAAGGCCCAGAGCAGGGCCAGGCTCCTGGGTGGCCCAGACCCAGATCAGCGCTTCCGGGCCGGAGGCTCAGTTCCAATGTGTCTTTGGGACAGAGCATCTGGCCAGGGCTGCCCTGGACACAGACCCTGAAGAGGTAGAGACAGAGGCCACCCTGCCCCTCCCCTGTCCCTCATCACAGCCCCAGGTGTCTCCCCCACTCTTGCTCAGGGGCCTGGCTGGGATGGGTGCCTTTGGGCCCTGACGTTCCCTCCTGAAAGGTGGACCCAGTTTCCAGGCCCCCTCTGGCCACTCCCACACCCTGTGGCCCCAGACAGTACAGGCAGTGACTGGGGGAGCATGACACTGGGGACCCCAGCACATCCCATGGCCCTTTGTTGACCTCACCATCTACCTTGCCCTACACCCGCACCCATTTTGTGGCCCTGCGCCTGTAACGTTCTCTCCACCTTTCACTTGAATTATCCTTTCCTGCAGCCGCACCCTGGCTGGGCTTGGCCACTGACCCAGAGGAGGTCCGAGGGCTGATGGCCACCCTGGAGGACCCCGATGGGGAGGGCTGGCCGCCTCCAGAGCTGGGGACAGAGAAGCCTGAGGGGGAGTCTGCACCCAGGGCCGGGAGGGGCCTAGGCGGCTGCAAGCGGAGGCGTGCTGGCCGCGAGCGGTCCCTGGAGCTTCAAGGCCGGGCGGCCCAGCAGGAGGACGCCGTGTGCCGCAGTGAGCCCTGGCCCTCTCCTTGCTGGATCCCCTGTGTTGGAGGCAGAAGATGGACTCCCAGGTGGGGGGCACTGGTGGCCAGGCCTGGCTGGTGGCGCGTGTGGCCTTTGAGCAGGATGGGGGTAAGCCGGAGGGGGCACTAGGGGCGTTGGAGGTATGCCTCCGGGAGGAGATGGCGGGGTCCTGGGGGGCATGTCGCCTGCAGAGCTAGACCCCGTCTGGAGCGGTGCCGTGGTGTGAGCACTGCCCTTGACGGTGACCGCGCCGTCCTCCATGGTATTGGGACACAGTGCTGCGGGCTGGCCTGCAGTCAGCGTTTGGCCTTCCTCTTGGCAGCTTCGGGCACCCCCCCTCCGTGAGGCTGTGCCCGGATGGGGGAGGGTGGGGTGGGCCAGCCATCAGGGTCCAGTGCTCTAGCCGTGGCCCGGAACCCTTTCCTCTCCGGGCGTCAGCGCCACAGCAGAGGCTGAAGGGGCCCTTGGACGGGCTGGAGTGTCTTCCCTGACCCCCTGGATGCTGCTCATGGCAGGGTGCGCATCGACTGGTCAGGTCCACGCTCCGTCTGGCCGGCCTCGTGACCTCCTGGGTCATGGCCACCACTTTAGCCTGGCAGAGCCTGCGGGCTGACACTCTTGCCTGTGTCGGGGTTGGGGGACGAGGCAGCATGGGGCTCCTGAGCCCTGGTTCCTGCCCAGAAGGTTTTCACAGTCTGGGTGGGGGGGCAGGATCTGACAGGCCTGAGCCCGGGGACCCATTTTGCTGATTACGGCCACGGTGAAGGACAGGCCTCTCCCTGCCGGGTTCCTGGTCTGAAGCATGGGGTGGTGACGCCATCTCGCGGCTACCGTGAGGATTGCTCGTCTCACAGACAATGTGCCCGGCGCCGTTCTGGGATCTTCTGCCTGCCACAGCGTCTGCCCCAGCAAAAACAGGGCTCGCTGCAGTATTTTTACTTGCCTAGATGTGGAAACTCTGAGCGTGGGTGTGCCTCAAAGACCGGGAGCCACCGGTGGGGAACCAGCGCCCCGAGCTGACAAGCAGCAGGACGAAGGGTGGCCGCAAGGTGAGGGCAGGGACTGGACTGAAAATGAGCCGGTCACTTAGGAAGGAGGGCAGGTCGTGTGCTCACGGCCCGCAGACAGGCACGCGGGAGGGGACTATGGAGCCCGCCTCGTCACTGAGGCACAAAGCTGTGGCCTTCCCCCGACCTGGCCCAGACACGCGCCACCGCCGGCCCCACCGCTCTCCTGCAGGTGAACACTGTAACTGGGTGAAGTGCTTTCCCTCCAGGTCTGGACTTAGCACTCTAAAAGCAGAGGCCCCGCTGCCCTCACCCCTTCCTCCTCTGTGGGTTCAGTTCCTCACACGCACATGACTCTGCCAGGGAGCGCCTCTGTGACTTTACATGGTACACTCGAACTTCCTCCACGGAGGACGAGGACAGTGGGCTTCCTTCCCCTCCTGGGTCTCCCCTTGCCTCTTCCATCACAATCTGGTCAGGTACGTTATTTTTATGATGTCACCAAGGCTGACCGACGTCATCTTCTGTCTACAGCCATCATGAGGCTCCGTGTTTGGGCCGTACGGTGATGGACATAGAGCGATAATGAAAAAATATTCACCGTTAAACCACAGGGGCGACAGGGAACTGAAATCCTAGTTGTTACAGCTGTGTTGCATGAAAGAATACTCTAGGGCTCAAGGACTCGTGGCACTTAATTTTTTTTTTTTTTTACTTTCTTCCTGTTTTCTGGGTTGTGCTCGGCTGCCTGGCACCCCCTTGTTCCCTTCCTGCAGATTCTTCACCTGCTTAGTAGAGGTAACTCCTTGGGTGGGTAGTAAATATCCTGGACTCTTAAATCTATTTTGCCTTTTACCGTTACAGGTCATTTGCATCTATCAGTTGATATTGGAATAACTCCCCCCCCAAGGACAGTTGCCGGGTGTTTGAGACCTTCCTGTGAAGCTGAGTACGTGTCGCGGGTTCTCGTGTACCCGAAAGTGTGCTCGTTTCCTCCCACGATGTCTGTAGCGTCGCTGGCTACGGCATTCAGGGTCAAAGTGTTTCCTTCAGATCTTTGAAAGACAGTACTCTTTCTTTGCTCTTAAACAGTTTGTTTTTTGGAAAGCTAAACAAAAATCCACTTGTGGTCTCTTAGCATCAAGCAGTTTTGTGACGAGCATGTGGATTTTTTCCCAAGATTTTTGTCCCGTTTGCATGTAGACTTTGGGTGTGTGTGTGTCTGGAGACTGGCGAAGTTTTCTTTTGCTTTGAAAGTCGGGGCGCCTGGGTGACTCAGTCGGTTAAGCGTCTGACTTTGGCTCAGGTCATGATCTCACGGTTCGTGAGATCGAGCCCCGCGTCGGGCTCTGTGCTGACAGCTCAGATCCTGGAGCCTCCTTCGGATTCTCTCTCTCTCTCTCTCTCTCTCTCTCTCTGCCCCTCCCCCACTAGCACTCTGTCTCTCTCTAAAATAAATAAACATTAAAAAAAAAGACAAAGTGTGACTTGCAAAAAAAAAAAAACAAAAAAGTTGAAGGTTCCCCAGCAGGTAGGTGCCGGGGATGTGTCTTTCTCGGCCCTTCGTGGATCCTCTCCATCGGCAGACGCCGCCTTCAGCATAGGGAAACTCCTCCCCGCATGCCCTCACTTGCTGGCCGCCACCTGTGCCCCGTTTTCTCGCAGAGGCCCGGTTGTGCAGGCCTTAGACCCCCGTGCGGGCCGCCCTGTCCCCACGGGGCCCCCACCGCTGGCTCCGAGTCACGCCCCCCGACTCCACTCCTGATCTCGTCACCCGGTCTCCCCCCTGGACTCAACTCAGACATTCCATTCTCCGTGTTTTCAGACTATTTCCTTTTCACAGAAGTCAGTCTTGTTTCACGGATGTGATATTCTTTTGCACCCCCCTGAAGAGGTGAGTCAGAATTTCTTCAGAAGCTCTGTCTGGGCCCCTGAACTGGCCCCCCATGGCGGACAGCGGTCTTCCCAGTGCCGAGAGGTCCAGGACAGGCCTCGGTGTTTCAAGGGAAATCCTGTGAGCAGTGGGCGCCTAGCCTAGCTTTTCTCTGCAGGGGGACCCGGATGTGGGTGCCGAGTTCTGGTGGGTGCTTGGGTTTGCCCACCCGCAGGCCTCGGGGCCCCACCCGGGCAGCCAATGTCTGCCTGGCCTCCGCAGCTGGACACAGCATGATTGGAGCCGCGTGGTCTCCCTAGACCCTGGCTCCACCAAGAGAAGGCTCTTGATTTCTCAACTTTTGTTGGGGTGGCCCAGCAGGTAGGGCAGGAGGCTCTCCGGAGAGCCTGGCCCTGACTGGCTTCCCAGCAGGTGGAGCGTATGTGGCACCCGCTGCGGCGGTCTGTGAGAGGCGGCCGGTTGAGCGGGTCCTGGACCTGTCACATGGCGTGGGCAGTCCTTGAGCTGACATCTGTGCTCAGGCTGTAGCTACTGCAGCCTCAACAGTGAGACAGTGAGACAGGGCAGCGGGGACGCGGGCTCTGCTGATGCCTGGCGACCCTGGCCCTCAGCTGTCCCCCCCTCCTCTCACAGGCACGCTCTTTGGGCAGGGGAGCAGGGTGCCCCTCCCTGTCGCTTCAGGACGGCTACTGGCCCCCCAACGCTGACGGCCACAAGGTGGTATTCGGGCACTCTTGCTGGCAGGTGACGACAGGCAGGGCCGTTGAGGCCTGCGGGTGCCCCCTCTGCGGGCCCCTGGCACTTGCTCCTGGGCTGCCTCCACCGGCCCGGGATCTTGGTCACTTTTCACAGCAGGCTCCCCCAGGGGACCCGGCTGGGCTCTTGGGCCACTCTCCAGCCACCTAACCCTAGGGCCCCCTCCTCGCTCGGCCCAGCAGTCCCTGGCGCCCGGCTCCCCGCGGCGCACAGCCGTGCTGGCCCCTCGGCTGCCTCCGCTGCCCGTGGGGGCGCCCCTGCCTCCGGCTGCTGTGCGTGGACAGGTGGGTGCCGGCACGAAGGGCCAGGGCTGTGTCCCCGCTTGGGGCCGACCCAGCCGCCAGGGGTCAGCAGAGCCCGGGAGGAGGGTGGGCCAGCTCGACACCGCCCACCCCGGCCCGACCTAGCCCGAACGCAACTCCGTTGTTTGAATAAACGTGTTTGTGAAACCAGGCGGCGGGGCCTTCGGGAGCTCCCGGTCACCCCCGCCCCCCGCTTGGGGGGCGAGGGACCTCGGCGCGGCTGGAGGCGAGGGCCGAGGGGCAGCGTCCGTGGCTCCTTCGAGGCGGCCCTGGGCGACGGGCCAAGGCGCGACCCGGCGCGCACCCCTGCGACCCCACGTAGCCTTAGTGTCACGCACGCTCTCCAACAACGTCTCCTTGCCGACCGGCCCGCCCAGTACGCACGGGGAGGGCTGCGCCTGGCGGGAGGGGCGAGCGCTGCTCCGGCGCGGCCCTCCGAGCCGGACGCGCGTCCCAGCCTCGGTGAGGCCCCGGCCCCGAGCGCGCTCGGGCGCTGCCACCGCATGGGCGGCGCTCGGCAGGGACCGGGGCGGGGCTCCGGGCTCGCTCCGCCCGCACAGCCTCCGCGGCTCTCCTGGCCCAGCAGTCGGGCTGCGGCGGCCGAGCCTAGCCGAGCTGAGCCACCAGGCACGTAGGACCGGGGCCGGGATGGAGAGGCGCGCAGGGTGCGGGAGCTGCGGGGTGGGATTGGGGGGGGGGGGGTGCTCTGCGGGAGCAGGCGTCGCGGAACTGGGGCTGCGTCGCGGCCCATCCTCCCTCGGGACGACACCACCTCTGCGCGCCCCAGACTGCGGAACTGGACGGGCGGTGCCCCGAGTGTGGGCAGGAAAGGCTGCCGGGGAGGCGCGGCCGGCAGCAGGGGGCCGGGGCGGCGGGGTGGGGTGGGGGGAGAGGCAGAGGTGCCGGAGAGCAGCCTGTGGGGGGCGGGGCGGGTGGCCCCCAGCTCGGTGCCCGCCGTCTCCTCCCCAGCCCTGAGCCCAAGGGCGGAGGCACAGAGCCCACATTGTGCCCCCACTGCACTCCACCCTCCGGGACAGAGCCCCATTCACCTCCCGCACGCCAGCGCTCCGGGGACCGGGAGCAGAGCAGCGGGCACGCGTGGGTGTGCGTGTGCTCCGGCAGCCGGCGGTGCGGGCGTGCATGAGGCGCTGGGCGGGCTGCCGGAGGGGAGGCCGGGCTCCTGCGGCCCACGCCGCTGCGGCTCCAGATATTTATAGGCCTTCACTGCGGAGACCGAGGTGGGACCGCACGGGGCTGGGGGCGGGGAAGGACGATGGGGGTGCTGGAGGGTGAAGCTTGGAGCTTGGAGGTACAGCGCCAGCGACCAGGGGCCGGGGCCGGGGTCCTTCCCTGACGGCTGGCAGAGGGGAGGGAGTGCGGTCCTGATGGTCCGGCTTGCCTGCTGATCGGAGGTGTAGAGGGGACGTCCGGGTTCGGGTGGGAGCCAGTGGACGCTAGTGTCTGAGTGGTGGGATGAGCCCCTGGGTGACAGTGTGTAGGTGCCAGTGTCCTGGTGAGAGACAAGGGAGTGAGGTCAGTGTTGGAGGAAGGGTGTCTTTGTGTGGGTGTCCCAGAGGTGAGCGGGTCGGATCGAGGCCAGTTGTGGGTGGGAGCAGAGTGTTGTCAATGTCTGGGATGAGGGGGGCGGTCAGTATGTAGGTGAAGCGGGACAAGGAGGGGTGAGGGGGGTGGTCAGTATGTGGGTGAAGCGGGACAAGGAGGAGTGAGGGTGGAAAGGGTGCGGTCAATGTCTAGGTTAACGGAGCGGCTGGTTAGTGTGCGGTATCCGCCTAAACACAGAGGGTGACCCCTCCCGCTCCCTCTCCAGGAGGCCATGTCGGCCGAGGACCACGAGGTGCGGGCAGCGGCCGAGGATGCCAGCGGAGGCAGCAGCAGCTCGCCCAGCCCCGGGGACACACTGCCCTGGAACCTGGGGAAAACGCAGAGGACCCGGCGAGGTGGAGGTGGCTCCGGGGGCAATGGGAGTGTCTTGGACCCTGCTGAGCGGGCAGTCATCCGCATTGCAGGTAACGCCGAGCGGCCTCGTCTGTCCGATTCGGACATTAACCCTGGCTTGTTGTCTGAGCTGTTGCTGCGCGCTACCTGCGGGCGCTGAGAGAGGGCGAGCTGGTCCGAGGGCCCCGGTCTGTGGCAGGTGATCCCGGGCAGCACAGCGCCACCTGCTGGCACCCTCTTGTCAGCTGCAGGAGGCCTGAGGTGGCGACCGCCGCAGGGGTGCCATCATTGGCCTCGCAAGGAGCCAGGGCCCGGATGCCCTGACACCTTCTTGGGCTCCTGCGGGCAGAGCCATCTTCCGGGCCCCTTGGTCTGCTACCGCTGGCGGTGTGTGGAAGCACACAGGAGCGGGAGAGGAGGGGCCGCCCGGTTGGCTAGCGTTGCAGCCCCCCGGGGGGATTCGGGGTCCTGCCTCGCCCTCCAGCAGCTGCTGCTCGGGGCAGGCGGGTGGGAAAGGCCCAGTCGAGGCCCCTGAGAGTGTGGGGCGGGCGGCTGGGGAGTGGGTGACCCAGGGCTGGCGGCCATCAGGCAGGATGTGCTGGGAGAGGGAGGAGCCAGCTGAGGGTCTCCCCGACAGTGGCTGCAGCTCTGACCCCCTTCCTCTCTGCGGACAGAACGATGATGGGGGCACCTGGACGGGACGGCTGGCCCCTGCAGGAGGCCCGGAGGGCACCCTGAGGCCGGTGGGGACAGGCCTGGAAGGCCAGCTGTGGGGCAAGGATGGGACTGGGGGCCGTGAGGGGTTGTGGGTGGAGACACAGGCCAGAGGTCAGGGAGATGCCCCAGGACAGTGGGTGCGGGCGCAGGACCCGCCAGGCTTCAAGCGTCACATACGGATTTGAAGGATTTTTACCCACTGGACAGCAAATCGTGGATGTCCTTCTCAGGCCTGGACCTTCCTCGGGGTCAGCCCCTGCCCTGGGGGAGGGGGGGACTTCACCAGTCCCTGCCAGGAGCTGTGCTGCCGTCAGGGCCGCAGGGCGCGACCCTCGCGCACGACCTTTGTGCTAGGATGGATTCCGTGACCGATTCTGGTCACGGGGTAGCAGCCCTGAAGGCTGGGGTGCAGTACTGCCAGGGGCGCCCCACCCGGACCGTTGTCCCCCCGGCGACCGGGTCTGTGCCCATTTCAGGGGCGGGAAAGAATTTGTCTTCTGTTTTTACCAAACGTTTTGTTTTCTTTCCTCCGCAAATCGCCTATTTCAGCCCTTTCATACTTACATGTTTCCTCTTGGGGGCTCTTTTTACCTCGAAGACACCAAGTCCTCAGCCTCGCGGCGGG